GTGGGGCTGAGGGTGCAGCAGCCCCAAACCCGTGGGGCTGAGGGTGCTGCAGCTCTGGGTGTGGGGCTGAGGGTGCTGCAGAGCTCTGAGTGTGGGGCTGAGGGTGCTGCAGAGCTCTGGGTGTGGGGCTGAGGGTGCTGCAGCTCTGGGTGTGGGGCTAAGGGTGCTCACCCACCCCTGAAAGCCCTGCTTGCCTTGCAGGCCCTGAGCGAGGAGATCAAGCACATGCACGGCCTGCGGATCTTCACCTCGGCCCCCAAGGCCTGAGGCTGCTCCAGCAGCAATAAAACGCCCCAGGAGGGGCACCCAGGGATGTGAATTCCACCCAGTGTTGTGTGTTCAATCAGGGCCCTGTGGGGCAGGGGAAGGAGAGGAGAAACCCTCTTCCTCTGAAAGAAGAGCAGGAAGAAACTTTATTATTATTATTGTTGTTGTTATTATTATTATTGCCTTTGCCACACAGGAGGGACCCGTGGGACATCCCAGAGCTGCTCCTCCCACCCACCCAGGGACAGGGACAGCCCACCCTGGGGCCAGGCACTTCTCCTCCTCACCCCTGCTTAAGGCTCTGGGCCAAAGTGCACCTCTTTTATCCAAAAAAAAAAAATTAAAAAACCCAAGAAAAAGCACTTCCAAAAATAAGCTGAGCCTCTCCGGGCGTGCTCTGGGGCTGGAGAGTCCAGAGAGGAGCTCTGGGAGCAGAAAGCGGCCGGGCAGCACCTGGAACATCCAGAGCAGGGCAGAACCTGCTCCACCTGCGGCCAGCCCAGGGCAAGGAGAGCCCAGCGGGGGCTGCAGAGCGGCGCCGAGGCCGCTCGCTGCCGGCTGAAGAAGAAGCGGAAAAGGAGCAGCCAGAAGGGTCCTCCCAGGGGGGGTTTTATCTGTCCTTGGAGCCCAACTTCTCAATCAGCTCGTGCAGAGGAGCCAGCTCACGCCTGTCGATCAGGCTGAACTCCTGGCAGGAGGAAAAAGGAGACATCAGAAAGTGAGGGAAGATGGGAAAAGGCAGCACCGCTCCTGGTCCTCGTGGAGAAATCAAATTTCAGGGCAACAAAACTCCTTGCTGCACACAGCAAGGCACAGACCAGGCTGGGAAAGTAAAAGAAAGGTGCTGGTGTTGCTCCTTCTGAGTCGGTTCCTGAGCTACAAACCCTCTGAGTTCTCCTCCAGTTCTGGTTTTGTTGACTGCAGATTGGTAATTAAAACCCGAGAGAGAAATTGGAGCGCTTACAACCAACAAAACAAAAAAACCCCACAAAAGCCCAACCTCACAAAGAGCTCAGCTGGGTGTGGAGGAGGAGCTGGGTGTTAACAGAGCAGATCTTGGGAGATTTCCACCCAGAATCCTCCAAAAGCCAAGAGGGAAGGTGAGATCCCCCGCTCCAGCTCACCTGCACGAAGAAGATAAAGTGCTTGAAGGAGGTGTTGAGGTGAGCCTCCTCCTGCAGCCGCATCACCGAGTCGAAGTGCTGGTGGTAGATGTGGGCGTAGACCCGGAACAGCCGCTTCAGGATGGTCTTGGCCACCGACATGAAGTTCTTGGGAAAGGGGACACCTGGAAAAGGAGGGACAGGCAGGGATCAGGGCGTGGCCCAGCCAGGAGGGGCCATCCCGGGGCTCGTGGCTGCACCCACCGATCTTGGAGGGGAAGAGGGTCTCGTCATCCAGCTGGTCCTGCACCCACGTCATCAGGTAATCGATGTACTTGGGTGCTGAGCACTTGATGGGCTTCTTGATGTTGGTGCCGTCGGCCCAGTGGTACTCGTACCTGTGGGAGGGGGAAATCCCGCAGGAAAAACGGGATTCAGGATCCCTGCTGATCCCAGGAGCCGCTCAGGGCTGCGCAGAGCTGGGCCTCTTTGGGTTTCCTGAGCCCAACAGTCAGGGCCGACCCCTCTGGGGTTTTTTTTTGGGGTTTCAGCCCCAAATGTCACAGGATTACGGAATATCCAGATCCACCGGGATCGTCAAGCCGAGCCTGGCCCTGCACAGACCCCCAGCAATCCCTGGCAGCGCTGTCCGAGTGCTCCTGGAGCTCTGGCAGCCTCAGGGCTGTGCCCATTCCCTGGGGAGCCTCTGGGGGAACAACCCTGCCCTGAGATCTCCATCCCAAATTCCCCTGGAACAGCTCCAGCCATTCCACGGGATCCTGTCCCTGCTCCCAGAGATCAGATGTTAAAAATGACCCTCAGCTCTGTGGCTGCCTCCTCTGACATCAACATTTCCTTAAAACAAACCAAAAGGAGCATCAGGGCCATCTTTTGGAGGCTCTGGATCTCACAGCAGACCCTGCTCCCACCCCTTTTCTCTGAGGTGTTTTACAAGATCCCTGAAAAGCAGCAAAGCCCCTCTGTGTTTTTCACCCGGCCACAAGCGCGAGCGGTGCCACTCGAGAGGAAGCTGTGACAGGAAATGGCCCCAAAAATAGAGGCAGGAACTGGCAGAGCAGATCCTGCAGGGTAGGAGAGCAGGGAAGGAGGTTCCACAGCAGCCACAGGGTGCTGGGCTCACAAACAGAGCCTTGGCAAACTCCCAAAGAGGATTCCCACCTGTGGCAAAATCCGCGAGTGCAGAACCAAGCCCTGGTAGGAATTCACACCTAAAATCAACAAGGTGGCCCCAAAAAGGGTTCACTCTCTTCTTTCCACCTCCCCCGAGGCCCCAACCTTCTCCTGCAGAGCAGTGCCACCACATTATAAAATTAAAATTAAGAAATGAAATGAAATGAAATGAAATGCTGATTAGATGTGCCTCCTGAAAATCCACCACATCCCTGAGGATGACACCAGAGGAGCAAAAGGTGTCAGCTGGACCCTGCCTGGGGTCCCTGCAGCTCCTCCCTGCCTCACCTGGGCCCTGCAGACATCACGGGGCAGCTGCTCTCGGTGCAGAACTCCGTGATGGTCCCGTACAGCATGTTGATCTGGTTGAAGAAATCCACAGCTGCAAAGGAAACGCCGTGGGGTGAGACAGGCGTGAGGCCAGCACCTCCCAGGATGCTCAAAAACCTGATGGATTTGGTAATATCCAAGGAGAGACCTTCTTCAGGCTGAGCACTCCTGACCTGAATCTGAATCTCTACATTCCTTGCTTTAAATTGCTTTTTTTCCCCCCTCTCTAACCTCCAAAGAAGCAAAGGTCAAGGCCAGGGGGAGCGGCTGCTGAAACCAAATTGGATCTGGAAATAGAAAACAAAAAAAGAAACTCCACAATCCTGGAGTCTGGGAGAAATAGAGCTCCACTTTCTCCCTGGATCATTTGTGCTACAGCTTTTACAGCCAACGGTGCTGATTTCCCAAAAATAACCATTCACAAACCAAAATCCCCTCCGTGAGCCTGAACTGGTAAAAAACCACCCCAAAACCACAGGGGAGCAGCTTCGGTGCAGCTTTGTCTCTTCCTCCTTGCACAACACCCCCCCCTAACCTGCACCCTGCTTCTGCTGCTTTTATCCCACCTCAGCTACCCCAGCCTGGGGAATTTTGGGGGGTTGTTTGAGGATAAACCCCGGGTTTTTGGGGTTTTCCCTCTCTCAGAGGACTCACTGTTCACAGCAATCCACTCGTTGAGGTCCTCCCCCTCGGGCAGCATCACGGCCTGCCGCAGGTTGCCGCTGCCCAGCGTGGCCTCGGCGTGTTTGAGGAGCTCGTACTGGTGGGATCCTTCTGGAATGTTCTTCTTTGGCTTGAATGTTTTCGAAGAGCGGCTTCCACTGAGGAGGGGAGAAGCGTTTCCAGTTTGCCACGGAAGCGGGGAACAGAGGAGGATGGAAAAGATCCCCGAGAGCAGCACCATCCTCACGGTCAGTACTCCTCGTGAGCCACATCCACCCGTGGCTGGGACGCTCCCAGGGATGGGGACTCCCATTTTCCATAAAATCCAACCTAAACCTCCCCTGGTGCAACTTGAGGCCCCTTTCCTGTGGTTCTGTCACAGTTCCCCACAGCAGAGGAAGCCCCTCCTTGTGCATTCCCAAAGATTCTTTTCAAGGGTTTCCTCTCCCCACACACACTCAGGAATCCCCCAAGCACAAACCACTCCACGATCCCACTTAAACCTTCCCCCTGTGCCTTCCTCAGCTCCTGGAGTTCCCAATCCTCCCCTCAAAGCTCAGGATTCCCCTCATGAATCCCTTCACCCCTGCCCCATGGCACTCAGCAGCCCCCTCAGAGCCTCCCCAAAATCCTTCCCCTCCTCAAGCCCCTCAGAGAGCAGCTCTCCATCCCTCCACAAACCTCTCTGCCACAAATAACCTTCCTAGGTCCTTTTCCCCCCTAGGGCCCCCTCAGGACCCTCCCTGAGGGGAGCCCGGACACTCACAAGAGGAAACTCATGGCGAGACGGGCTGAGAGGAGCTGGAACGGGCTGAGGGAGCGAGAAGAGCTGGGGGAAGCGGGAATGGACTGAGGGGAGAGGAAATGGGCTGAGGGAGAGGGAAGAGGGATGGGGGACTGGGAAGGGCTGAGGGAGCGGGCGGAAGGAAGAGGGGCCGGGATGCGAGAGCGGAAAGGGCTGAGGGAACGGAGTGAGGGGGTGGGAAGGGCTGAGGGAAGCGGGGCCGGGTGGAGGGAGCGGATGGAG